CAATGGTGATGTTAGATGCTTGGGTGACGTTGCGGAAATGTGCGAGAATGTTTGATAAATAAGCGGTTGCTCCTGACCCATGACAGTCGCTGTTGCCTACAACTAAAGCTGGCAAGTCGAGAAGCAGCTGTCTTCGTTCCTTCTGATCAAGCGTTGAGGCCCAAAGTTGGAAGGTGGGCGCTGAGCTCCTCCGACTAACACCGTCAGTCAACGACGTGGCAACGGCAGCTACAACCCACGCACGAGAACATCAACGAAGGTGCAAGTAAACAGACATCAGGAAAAAACCAAGGAATTAACAGCGCTGCGTAGATACTCGTAACAGTGTATTATGCTCCCACGACGCCATTGCTATGTCCGCAAAGCCCTCAAACTCCCAAGATGCCCAACCCAAAAGCCATTCCTCGTCTTGTTGACCATGGCATGATCTCGTGAGCACCAGCCGGCGAGCCGGACTGGCTGAAATGTAATTATCCATAAAACATGCGTAACAATGCAGAGTCCTCTCTTGCTCTGGGCGTACCAGAACTTCTGTCTTTCAGTGACGTCTTTTCTTTGATTCGTCAATCTCCTCTCCCATGTCCATGGGGTTGGTCGGGTCAATGTAAGCCGACAGTCTGGTGTCGCCCCAGCGAGCTCCGACAGTAACCCAAACACCCTTGATAGGGGTGTTGCCCATGACCGTCTCGCGGTGGCCGCCCCAGCGCAGACGGTGCTCGCGGTCCATGGCGCTGTTGCCCAAGCCACCGTTGGTCGTCCACTCCTTGACGGCGTTCTTGATGAACTCAATCTTCCGACGGAAGTCGTTGGCGGCCGGAATTCCCTGGAGTTCAACCGGGATTTCAGGTCGGCGGCGGGAGGTGGTGGTAGGGCGAGTAGCCCGACTTGACGAGGGCTTCGTCTGGAAATTGAGCAGCGTTTGCAGAGGATATGACAGCATAGCCCTTTCGTCAAGCGCGGCAGCTCCCAAACTGCCAGTGGTTGCCAGGTTATGGGCCGCGTCCATAGGGAGATGCCAGAAGTGGCACCATGTTCCAGCAGCGTTGAGAACAATCTTGGTATGATCAGGGAAGTTGAACTGCAATTTTGTTAGTCTAGTCAGGTCATTGGAACACGGAAAAGCTAACCTGAAGATGCCCGTCGCCAAAGACCCAGCAACCAACATCACCAAAGCGTTGGTAGAAGGTCACCAAGTCCGACGGCTGAGAGTTGTTGACAGTGAGCTCGGACGAGCGAATAGATGTCTCCTCGGCGGGGACTGCCTCATCTCTGCCGTAAGCAATCATGTAGTTTGCAAACTTCTTCCACAGGATGACTCTCTCCCTCTTGCGGTGCTCGTAAACATCCCTTCCGGGGTTCAGCTTGCCAGGGGTACCGTCCTCATAAACCGGTACGCGGAACTGCTTCGAGGAAACCGAAACTCGAGCCAAGCCCGTTTCGCCGTTGTTCTCGTAGAAGTGTATGTCCTGTCCAGGCGGCAGAGGCTGATGTCTCTCAGGGTATGTCTCGTCATGCCGTCGCTCGATATGCCTCTCGGCATCACGCACGAGCATACACGCCGAGGGAAGTGTGAGGGTCTTGCTGCTCTCAGTAGTGGGGATATCACGCAGGATGCAGCCAACACCACCATCGTTCAGGATGTAGCCAAGGCCAAACTTGTTCGTGTAATCTACCCACTTCACAACAACGTTGGGGTGAGGAGGGGTGACGTCCTTGGACGAGATTATGGCCATCGTGCGAGCGTTCAGGGCACGCTCCAATTCACCCTGAAGTCGACGAAGACGCTCCAACACAACATCCGGTTTTGAGCTAGCCACCGGCTCTGGGCGTTCTGACGGGCTGAAGAGCGAAGCCATTTCCGTCTTATCGGATGAGATCTTCAAGTTCTCCATCAGACCAGTCATTGTGAGGGTGGGCTGGCTGGAGGACTGCGGCACCATAGCCTGACTAGGGAGGGCGCTTGTGGACTGGCTTGTCGGCAGCGGCGTTCGTCGACTGGCAGTCACCTTTCTCAATGGCGCTTCTGACATTTGGTTTGTTCTTTGAGGTTCCGGCGCGGATTGTTGTCTGACGGATCTCGGCCGCACAGGTTCAGCAGGTTGTGAAGACGCTTCTGGAGGAGGTCGTGATCTGGTGCTGCTAGCCATAGCCGGAGGTCGGTTTTGTGCTCTTTGCTGAGCAGCGAAGCTCTGGGGAGGCTGGCGCAGCAAGCCGGATGGCGCGGTCTGCGAAGCAGCCAGCTGCTGTTGTTCTCTCGTGTTTTCGGAGCGGGAAGATGACGAAGCAGCCAATGCGCGTGCTTGACGCCTCTCGCTAGCCTGTCGCTTCTCGGCCAGCCAGTCATCGAACGGCCTGTAGACAACATCCTCACCAAGGGGAATCACTGGCGTCAAGCCAGACTTCTCCTCGGCCGCCATCTCTTTCCAGGTCTGAGTGTGAACCACCTGCACGGGTGTCCAAGGACCAACTCCACATTCTCTGCACATGTCCTCGTGGTTTCTTTGGGTGATTGCCTGCAGGTTGGAGCTCATGCGGGTCGCGTAGAATTCCGAGCCGTCGGGTGGCAGTGTCAGTAGTCTAGTGGTCATGTCCTCTTCCACAGGCATGTAGCCACAGGTGAAGAACGGGTGTTGAACAATGATGTCAGGGTCGGGTCTCATATCAGCGTCCTCGAGCATCGTAGCAACGCAGTCCTTGGCCTCTTGGCTGATGAACTTGGACGAAGTTTCTGGGTTCGGCCATTCGTAGTCGCGTTCTCTCGCGCGGCGGTAGATTTCCTCGGTGCTCGTGGACTGGAAAGGCGGCTTGGATGTCAACATGGCGAACCTGTCTCTGTCAGCACTTTTCCACCCAGATCGTCGTCGGCAAGACTAACATGATGATACCCAGACTCCAAATGTCAACCATGTGGTCATGTCCCTTCTTTCCCTTCTGGAGAATCTCGGGGGCAATGTAGTTGGGTGTGCCGCACAAAGTGGTCCTTCTTATGGTTTGCATGTCCCGGCCAGTAACCAGCAACGCAGCCAATCCAAAGTCTCCGACCTTGGCGTTCATTCTGTGGTCCAAGAAGATGTTTCCCATCTTCAAGTCGCGGTGAATGATTCCCTTCCCGTGCATGTACTTAATGGCGCCAGCGACTTGAACAGAGTAGAAACGGACTTCGGGCTCGGTCAGGCCCTTGCGCTTCTTGACCATGTCCATGAGAGAGCCATTGGTGCAGAGCTCGAGGACCAAGTACATGCAGTCGTGGAAAGAGAATGCCCTGAAGAATTGCACAATATTTTTCTGGTTCATCTTGGAGTGAATCTGAAGCTCGGTTTGGAACTGCGCAAGATGTTAGATCTCAAAATCAAATCATCGCGCGACGTGCTGCTGACCTTCTGCATCATCTTGGAGGGCATCTGGCTCCGGACAATCTTCAAGGCATACTTCTTGCGCTCCGGCATGAGATATCCCTGATAGCACACGGCGAAACCGCCCTTGCCGAGCATCCTGCCAACCTGGTAGACGGCGCCATTGGGACGGTCTGAGCTCGGAGGCTCGTCGACAGTGGCGGGGGGTTGCGGCGGCGGCTCCTTGTCCTTGGCCGCCTTGAGCTGGGCGACTGGCTTCGTCGTCTTCATTTCGATTGCCTTTGGCATACGTTGAGCGTTAGCGTCCCTAGGCGACAAGGCCTCCAAATCGACGCCCCCTTTAGCCACCAGTCTATGGGCCATGGCTGTGGCCACGCGCGTCTCGTGTGTCGATGCGGTCTCGAGAGAGATGCGAGCTCTCGGGAGCAAGAGAGGTTGTTATGCGAGGATCAGGATTGTCCCTGGGTGGTGGAGAGGAGGGACCTGGGAATGGCACGATCGTCAGCACATTGGAGGAGGCGAGCGAAAACCGCGAGTTGGAAAAGTGCAAAGGAAGACGGATTGAAGTTGCGGAAAGCAAAGTGAAGTGTGTGTCCCAAGCACCTTCCACTGACCGCAACAAGTGCAGGAGCCGAAACAAAACGAAGGGCAGGTAGGTAGCAACGAAATGAAGGGGGGACGCAAAACACTTACAAGTTTCGCAGCAGCGAGTACATGTGCGAATGGGGGGGGAAATGCTGAACAAACAGTTCCCGGCAGTCAAAGACCAAAACGAAGCAATAGAAATGCCAAATGAAGGCAGACCGGCGTAGCAACTCACACACGGATCAGAGGTGTCGGGATGATGCGCCGTTGAGACGAACGGTAAACTTTTGGGTGTGGAGTGAAAGGACCGGGTTCAGTTGTTGGTGTGTTACTGTCGCTGTTGACCTTCTTCTCGCGTACCGTTACCCTGGAAACTGCAAGCTTGGAGCGCTAATGTCTGCTCTGGGAGCCACTCAAAGTGCCCGCTGCTGCCCCACAACCGCCTGTTTTCGTCCTTAGGTAAGCAGACAGGGAACTCCTTCCGCATTCAGCAACAAATGCTCCCCAGCGTGACTCGGCTTCGAAGTGCATTCAGTGAGCAACACGGCCATTAGGTTTCTTCTGCAAAATAGGAAGGCCGGCGACTAAGTAGATGGGATCAATGCTAAGGTCTGGTGAACTTTGGACAGTTTCATCGGCGAAACTTGGCCAAAGGCTCCGGACCCCTACCTTACCGACAGCTTCCAAATTCCAAGGTCTCACTCCGGCTACCTAGCCGGGGGTGCCCGTACTCGAATCGGCCCCGAAGGGTTAAATAAAGCGGAACATCAAATGAGCGGGTTCCGAATATTTCCCCCACGGAAGGCTCCAGCTCCCGCAGCGACGTCAGCTGCCTACTTAACAATCCCGAAGACCCCGATTTCCTTGACTCTGTACATATTTGCAATTACGAAACCTCAATTGCCTTGCCTGTGAGGTCTACCAACGCTCGCGACTCAATTGACGAGAAAACGCTGCGGCCAAGCCCGGACCAAGACATAGTCGTAGCACGGAGCTCTCGGAGCTCGCTCCTCCAACCAACGAACCCCTCCCCTCCGATCGGCGCGTGAGAACCACCCCACCATGGTGCCACTGCCTCTCTTCAAGATTGCTGCCCTCTTCGTGAGGCATGTGTCCAAGTACGGCGCGGTAAGTCCAACCTTCTCTTCCGTCATCTTAGTTCCTTAGTGTGACTAACACCATCCGTCCACAGAACCGCATCAAGGCACAAGCCCACGACCACCCCAAGTTCCGCGCCTTTGCCGCCCGCTATGGCCAGTCGATACACCAGCTCAACATGCGCCTCTCCGTCGCGCTCCTCCGTAACGTCGAGGCCGAGATGAGAGCCAAGGAAAAAGCCGAAGCGCCCACCGTCAAGACGAAAGAGCAGGTCGAGAAGGAGGAAGAAGCCAAGGCGAAACAGGCGAAGCTCGAGGCCGGACACCCAGACTCCGCCGCCAGGCGCAAGTCCTCTTCTTCGTCCAGCGGAGGGGCAGAAAAGAAACCGACGAGCGTGTGGCGCCGCAAGTTCAGGCCGCTCCCCGAGGCCAAGGCCGTCGACCTCTTCGCGGACGTGATTGGCGATGCGTTCATCCTGGGCGTGGCAAGTGCCATCATCATCTACGAGTACTGGAAGGCGTCGCAGAAGCCGGATCACAACGCGGAACGGATCAAGATGCTGGACGCCAAGCTGGAAGAGCTCACGCGCCGCGAGGAGGAGCTGGCGCGCTCTGAAGAGGAGCGGCAGCAACGATACGAGGCGTTGGAGAATGCGCTGCGGGAGCTGAGGGACCCCAAAACGAAGAAACCTCTGTTGCCGACTTTGCAGTCACCACCGACGCCGACAGCAGCGTGAGGGATGAGATGAGACAACGGGCAATGCTGAAAGAGGCGGCGAAGGCGGTTGATTATACGATACACCATGATACCATTGAGCGGGCTATTACTGTACTTGTACGGTGTTGTATAGACTGTGGGTGGCATATTTAGACGGAACCTCAACTTTTGGAAAAGGAACCTGAAGGCAAGCGCGGGCAGGGAGCTCTTGCTGTTTCCATCAATTATACTCACCTCATAGAAAGATACCAATCACAATTCAAAAAGGCAACTGCCACTTCTACTCTAAGCTTGGACTTCACATCATCTTGACACTCACTTAGCCGGGGCAATCGTTGAGCTCGACCAGCCATGTGGTGTTCCAATCTTCGAAGCCGCTCTGAATGGGCACCAGCCGTCCGCGCTCTTTCTGACAATGCCCTTCGCCTCAAGGGTAAGGTACTTTTCGACCATGGCAGACGGAAGCTAATACCTCAACAGAGGCCAGCGTCAAATCGCACGACATCATCCTCCCTATCCCGGAGCAACGCCGTTCTCTCCGTCTCGTGCTCCTCTCACCAGCAGATCTCGATGGCCAGACTACAGAGCAGCGCGTCGAACGCCTCGCCAATCTCGAAGGCGGCAGCAACGCAGCCGTCATCTTCCTCGTGGACCCGCTGGGACAGAAGAAGGACCCAATGGAGGCGTTCATGAAGCTTCAAATCCAGTAAGCCATATCACACACACACCCCGTCACAGTCACAATCATCAGCACCGCAATCACATCACAGCAGCGTGCAGCAAACATCAACTAACACCGCCGAATAGGATGCTAGACAAGCACGACATACCTCTCATCCCCCTGGCCTCCGCCTCCGACCTACCCAGCACCCTCGCCGCGCTCCGTTCCTTCGCACAACAACCCCCTCCCCAGCCGCAGCAGTCCCCAATCTTCCTCCTCCAGCACATGACCGCCGGCCGTCCCCTGACAGAGCACGCCGCCAACCTCCTCAGCGAACTCGGGCGCTCCCCAGCCGAAGTAGCCGCCCTCGCCGCCACCCCCCACGGGCGCGCGCGGATCCTCGATCTGCTGGGCGAAGCAGACAGCAAGCGGGTTCTCGACTTCGTCAAGATCGAGACCAACGCGCATTGAACGGAACCATCTCGCCGGGATCGTGGGCAGGGGAGAGTGGGAAAGTGGGAAAGGGGGAGGCTTCGCGCAGGAAGGAAATGCCAACTCGCTGGGTGGATGTGACGCTGGGTATTCGGATGGCATCTGTCTGCGCCGCTGTCTGACGAGAATCTCCAGATCCTGGGGCGTTCACTGGCATGACGATAAGGGGGCTCGATGGCAGGAACGGGGAGGCTGTGTTCCGTGTTGCTCACCAGGGGGTTGAAAACTCGAGACTTGAGACGAGAGAGGGGGAGGGGGATCTCAACCCGCTTAGATGGTGGGGTTTGAAGGCTTTGACAGCCAGACAAGCCACCTCCGCCAACATAACCATTGAGCAGGGTCACAACCAAAAATCAGTAGAACCAAAAAAGAGGCGTGCCCGTCACAACTACTAGTCGTTCGTGCCTTAGAAGACTAGTTGACACCCGCGGAAAAAGTTGTTTGGAACTACTGCCAGATTTCACCTGTCGCGTCTCATAACGTCAGATGAAAGCCCGGGATCAATGCTCAGATGGGCGGTCGCGAGTCTCTTGACAGTTCTGAACCGGACCCAAAGCCGTGCGTGGTGTCGCAACTGGTGTGGGTGTCCAACGACAACATGAGGCACTTGCCGTCGGGGCGTGCAAAGAGCCGTCACAACCTCGTCCTTCCTTCGTCCAAGCCCAGCTTCTTCTCCTCACATCTCGGCTGTGCCCAAGAGCCGTGCTGATCAATCCCACCCTTCACCCTTCGCACCTCACCCCTCCCCTCCCCCGCGGCTTGCTATTCCCACCATGAATCTACTATTATTCGTCACTGACGACGACTGCAGATCAGAACAGACAGTAACGAGATTGAGGTGCAGCAGTGCGTGTTTGATCCCCCAAACGTTTAAAGTAGCCTGCAGAGAGTCAAAGTGCCAATCAAGCAGCGTCTTAATCGACAGTCGAGTCTTGGCTATCTCTCGGGAGAGTCTCAAGTTCACGATTCGCGAGGTTTGGTCGCCAGTCTCATCCGACTCGTGATCTACGTCAGATTTATGGTTGTTTTTCGGTTCTTCTGGCCCGACTTTTTTCGCTTCGCCTCTCGCCTTCTCCGTGGATCTCGCGAGGTGGCCGTGGAAAAGCTCTAGAATGTCTTCCTCGCTGGCTGTTCCCTTCTCTGCGTTGTGAGTTTTGCTGCAGATAGACGCTTCCAAGTGGGGATGGCCTTGGTTCCCGGTTGACTGGGTTGGGTTCACCACGGAGGGGACAGGGGTTGTGCGGCAATAGCAAGACAGAGAAAAACGACTGACACGAGCAACTGGCAGATGCACGTTGGTGACCTCAACGCGGCACTTGGGAGCCGTGACCCGAGTCGTGCCGCAGAGGCCACATCCAACACATGCAAGAGTCTTTGGTGAGTGACCAGACACAGTCTTGCAAGTGGGGACCCTGAAGTTCGTTCAGACCAAGGGTGAGGGGCTGGACGATCCCATATTGTTGCCGTATTGTAGCCGTATTACACCCATATTACGTGATAGTCGTTGTGATATGGTCAAGAAAGCTTGCCTATGGATGAGAAGGCGCTTGGTCCAGGTCGGATTCCGGATGGTATGCTTATCTGACAAACCAAACCTTCAGACGTATGATGGCCCCCAAAGTTTGGTGATATGAGCGCTGTTATGAAAATAGACTGTGTTTCTTGAATCGATAGTCTTGGTGGGGGGAAAGACGACAGTAAGAGGGCAAGCGACCGAGGTTTTTGCCATCCACGTGCAAGCGATGGAACTTGCGATGTCGGTGAGCAATTCGGCCCATTGGATCCGGGCGCGCGGGGATATGGCGTTGCATGGCATGAGAAGATCTCGCAGCTCACTGCAAGTCGGGCCACTCGCAACGGCCACGGCGCTGGGATGGGGCTATTTCTGGCGTGGAGCTCATGTGCCGAGAGTGATGGGTTGTGATTCCAGAAGGAATTGACCGCCTCGCGAGACCGAGCCGTCCATTGTCCAGCCTCCGTCGTTGAAAGCCTGCGTGAATAGATTGCTGTGATATCTGCCCGGCGGTTGCAGTAGCACAAGTGACGACAAACCCCTCCGGGCAGATGCGCCGGCTGAGATGGTTGGCCAGACCCCCGGAGAGTGTGGGCCGCAACCATGTGGACTGCTGAGAGGGGAGCCAATGGCGAAGAGCCGTGAACCGCCCGCGCAAATAAAGTTGACCATACGCACTCTCAGGGCTCCCAGCGGCGATGTTCCCCCTCGTCTTTTTTTTATTTTTAGGCCCACCCTGCAGCGTACCAATGCAGACGGCGGATGTGCTGCAGTGTCGTTGATTCGGCAGGCGAGCATATTGCCAAATTCAACAAGAGTCAAATATGGCCTGGCAACCCGCCACTTGTCTGCCGAGGAGATCCAGATCTGAGCAGTTTTATTGCGGTCCATCCTTTCTGCGTGATCTTGGCCCGAGGGACTATCGATTTTTTGCGTCGCAACCCAACCCCGCCGTGACAGCGTTGAATCAGACAAGCAGCGACGTGGTTGCTGGTGGTACGCATTGCGTGTATTGTATCCATAAACCACCGTGGTCGACTCGATGCGGCAACTGCGCAAGAAGTGCATCCCCGGAGACGCAAGGTGATACAAGGATGCATGCCCGCGCTAGAGTCGTTGACACAGAGAGCCTCTCTAGTCCAAACCTGGCGGCGAGAGGCTGATACTGCGGGTGGTCAAGGTGATGGACAAGACGGCGGCTGCAACATGGGCAAATCCTCCCGCCTTCAACTAAGGAAAGGTAGCTTCAGCCTGGAACGATCGATCAGAGCTGTCAGCAGTGACATCCGGGCGCCTGCCGCAGAAAGCTGACGGTGGTTGACGCCAAAAAAAAAAAAAAAAAAAAAAACAGCTACGCTTTGAAAACAACGGCTTTACATCCCAAATGGACCGTCTGAAAAGCAGCCATCGGAGGAATGGACCTCGACGAGTTGTTCACGTCGCGGACAGGGTGGGTGTGTCGGTGTGACCGCCAGACCGGACCAGACCAGAGTCGAGGACGATTGGTAGCGGAAGCAAAGCCGCCCCCTTTCGCCCCCATCTTGACGCTGATGATTAAGGTTCTGTCGACATGGGTTGCTTGGCAGATTCAATGGGCAATGTCACTGTCCCCTCGGCGGTCTGTTCGCGGACTGAAGTGCAGCGTTCATCCCCCATCGTCTGTTCGTCGGTCCGAGTCGAGAGTTGTGAGGAAAGCAGGGGCCTCGTTGCGTAACGTCGACGAAGTTGGGGGAGGGCAGGCGTTCATGCATCTGAAAGGTTTGCTTTGCTGAATAAGAGAGCGTAGACACCACCGTTTTGCTCGGTTGTCATCCGCGGCGTCAGCTGTCCATGGTGAGGCTTCATTAGGTTCGCGGCGAGGCTACCGAGGATGACAGTCAACTGACAGTCACTCACTTCGACCTCAGCATTCTGAGAGGTTATTGAAGCTGTTCCTTCTTTGATATCGACTCATGTGTCTCCACCTGCACTCACGACTGCCGTGGTTGTCGTCACTCTTGTCACTGACAAACTTGAGATGGCGTCCGCTGTGGGTCTCGAGATACAGAGCGATCCCGCTCAAGAACAGCGGAACAGGGGAAAAAAGAAAGGAAAAATTCATCCATGTCCAATAAGTCCCATGTGGTATGCCCAGCTTGTGAGCCAAACGGGGTCTGAATGGGACTCTCTTGGGGCAACGGAGGACAGGGGTCGTCCTCGGTAGCGGTCAACAGAACGACAACAGCGACAGGGTTGGGCTCGGACGAGACAGCGCCTGCGACCGGGCGGCTGACAGCCCGTCCCATCTTCTCAAACCACATGTGCCTCAGCACAGCCATTCTGGAACTTGCGTCTGTCTGAGGCGGTTTTGATC